AGGTGAGTGAGGGGGAGAGGGAAAATAGGGGAATGGGTGGGAGAGGCAGGGGCCTTTGCAGAGGGGGGGGGGAAGAAAGGGGAAGGCACCAAGGGACAGGGTGGAGGAGAATCAAATGATGGGGGTCTAAGTGCAGACAATGAGGAAAAGGGCGGGAGGGGAGGTGGCAGTGGGAAGGAGGACAGGGTGATGCTGGGAGAGGAGAGAGTAAGGGCATTGGGAGCCTGGGGGGGAAGAGGAGGTGCTGGGAGAAGGCTTGAATGAAGCGGTGGGCATGAGAAAGGTGGAGATGGAGCAAGTCATGTGAGGGCACAGAGGGGCATGAGAGGAATGGGGGCAGAGAGTGGTAAGGGGGTGGGCATCAGGGAAAAAGAGGGCAAAGGGCACAGAGGCAGTAAGGGAAGGGCGAGGAACCAGGAGGGTGCAGGGCTAAGGGAAGGTGACACCTTTTAGTTCTGGTCATGTGTCCATCTTGCCCTGAGCGTGTTACCTCCAGAGGTGTGGCTAATAGGGGGCAGAGGATGTGGCTAATGGGGGACAAGGGCATGGTTAACGGGGATCAGGGAGTGTGGCTAATGGAGCACCACCAAAAATTATACAATCCTGCCACCTCTGTCAACATGTGCTGGTGCAGCCACTCATCATGTGCAGCCGCCCATTCCTTTAGTTCCTTCTCTGCTGCCGCTGGCTTCAGTCAGAACCGAAGTGCCCTCCAAATAGTTTGTAAATCTCATTAGAGTTAGTTTAATGTTGTAGTTATTTTTGTAGTTATTACTGTTAAGGTGCATCCACATTGCACCATTATTCCGGAATAACAGCTATTACTCTGGAATAACAATACAAGCATCTACACAGCAATTCTGTTACTTTGAAATAAGCTTGAAAATAACAGTTTATTCTGACTCTTGTAAACCTCATTGCATGAGGAATAATGCCTCTTCCAAAATAGCTATTTTGGAAGAGGGTGTGTATGGACGCAGCACAGGGTGTTATTTTGAAATAAGGGGCCTCCAGGAAATCCCACAGCTGCCCTGCTGGCCACTGTGTCCAAACTCCTCAGAACTCTATGGTTCCTCTTCCTCTGCAGCCCTTAAAGCTGCAGACACAGGGGAAAGGGCTTGGGGCAGGAAGCTGGCCCTGACAGCCTCCAGCCACCCCGCTCCTGCCACAGCACAACATCTGGCCAGCATGGATGACCATTGAGCCACTCAAGAGCTCTCCACTGCTCCCAGGGAGTACTCTGATGGCTCCTAGATGCCTTCCAGGTGCTGAAAGACGTGCTGTCCTGGTCTGGGGCAGAGATCTTAGCCCTCATTGAGGTGTGGGGCAAAGAGGAAAACCTCCAGGATGTCCGCTTCAGATGGTACAACATCAATGGTTGACTTCCCCACGCTGAACTGGTTGCCCATGGATCAGTAACTGTTGGGCGGGGTGAGCTTCCACATTGTGATAGCAACCTATTTCTTCAGGGGTACGGTGGGTTGCATCTGGATGTCCCATCATGTGAGCGCAGCTGCAAGCCAGGCTCAGAGCTCCAGAAATGTCTCCTTCCTCATGCAGAAATTCTGGAGCCAATGCTGGTCATCTGACTGCTTCATAATCAGCCGGTCCTACCAGTTTGAACAGGTGTCCAGCCACCAGAAGCAGCACGCCACAGTGGGGTGTGGTTGAAAGAGCTGCACTCCCACACATATGTTGATGGTCTCCTCAAACAGCTCTGGGTCAATGTGTGCCAAAGGCAGCTCTAGCTTGATAGTTGGGAGCGCTATTGTGCCCAAAAACAGGGTAACCAAAGCATGCAGTGGAAATGCTTTGCTGTCTCTCAGAGAGGTAGGCAAGAAGAAGAACCTGAGAAATGTCTGTACAGGGAGGTCCCTTTAAGCATATATCTTCTGGAATAGCTTTCTCCGAAATAAGCATGCAGTGTAGATGTACTCTTAGTTGTTAAATAGTTGTAGTTAGTTAAATATTTTTTATTTTTCTCCTGTTGAGGCCTTTCCCAGTTCGCCATCTTTCCTTCTGGGATGCTGTAGCCAGACAGAACCCCCCGCCCCTCCCTCTCCCCTCGTCCCTCTGAAATTCTTGGGAGGGAGAATCCGCGGGAACGAAATTCTGTCTTCAAGGCTCCAGGGCCTCCAAAGGTGCTGGAATAACTATGGCCCTGGATGCTAGACAGAAACCAGATAACAGTGGCAGTTGGGCCAGCAGACAGTCGGGGCCTTGGGCTTCTCTTGGCTGGTACCAGTAATTGATACGCCTACACAACGTCCCAGAAGAGGAATCTGCCGCCCCATCAGGAAAAGAATGTCCAGCCCTAATGATTTAGTTACCTCCACCTGACAGGTGCAAATTAATCTTTGGCAATTCCCTGTGGGAGCAGGTGTCACAAAGAAGTTCCAACTTAATTGGCATTTTATGACAAGAGAAGCGTCTACGTGACCACAGGGGTATAAAGTGGGGTCCTATGCCCCACTGTAATTGGAGATCCAACCATATACCTGCTAGTCAGGCAGTCCTGGACCCCCCGGGATTTTAGGGACGCCTTCATCTCATACCAACTGCTTCCCATTGGGATTGAGAGAAACTCTGGCTTCGCCGGAGTAAGGATCGCAGAGGTGAGAATATGCCTGCTAGGTGTTTGTTTTGCACGCATTCAATAAGAGCTCAGAGAACCAAATGGTGTTAGGGTACCTTTTTAGTGACTTTTATTGTATTTGTCTTCTCTTTGTAGTATCTTTGTTATCTGTAACACAGCAGTAACATTTAACAGCTAAGCTTGCCTTGTAACAATAAAGCAGTAACTGTTTAAGTTTTAACCTGACTCCTGTTGCTGTAACAGAACTGAACACAAAAGAACCATAGCTGGTTTGGCTAACTTGCCGCGGTCAGGGGTAAAAGCAGTAAGAGCTGAGTGCTGAGTCGTGCCGCCTCCATGGGGCAGACTCTTGGGGCATCCATCGGCCGTTAGGGTCGCCTGCTGCGAAGGGACTCTGTCCTAGCAGTTAGACTTGGATGTGATAGGGCTCTGTGATGGGGTGGCGTAACCTCGCACTAACTGGGCCCCCCCGGGGGGCAGAGAGATGCAGAGCGGCTTTCCCCGCCCCGGGGGCAGGGGTGGCTCCG